TTGCGAAAGCTGAGAAACTGTGTGCGGATCAAAAGTCGCGTCCGTCGAGTGCGAGATTGTATGCATTGAATGGTTGCTTCTGGTAATAGAATTTCAACGGTGGTCGCTTGGATCCTTTTAACCTTTTCCACGAAACCCTAGGCAAAAAAAAATGAATTTCAGAATAAGGTTTTCCACGGTGAAAACCTAGAAAAAAAAATAGCGGAGAAATGAAAAGAGATGAGCGGCAGGTTAGGTATTATAAATTAATATTAAATATTAGAATTATGTAAAATAGGAAAAAGGGTATAATTGTGAAATTATATTAATTTTTATTCATTAAAAATGTTTTAGATTTAACTTAAAAATGAGAATAATTTTTGGACTCATTGTAACTAGAGGAGTCTAATGAGGGGGTTTTGTGAAACAATCCCTACAAATAATCCCATCATCCCATACTTATTTATAAAAAGGTCCAGACAAAACACTGTTTTACAAAAAATCCACACATTGTCCATAGATGTATAAAGGACTAAAATACTTGTTCACATTTTAATATGCTCCAATTTCATTATTTAATTTAATTTAACCTCAATTTGACTCCAAATTTCACAAATTATTCAATTTTCACCGAAAACTCAATTTTGCATACAATTTCGCCCGCCACCGCCGTTAACCGCTGGTCTCCGGCGTTGATTTTTTTTTTTTTTTTAGAATTATTTTTTACTTTAACATATTTTTGCCCCCGTTTAAACATCAATATTGTTGTGGTTGATAGTCATATTAATTATATGGGATTATTTTGTAGACCCCCCTCATTTCCAAATTATATAGAACTAACTACCAAGTGGATTACACTCTAGGTGAAAGTGAAACCCCCCTCATTTCGAAAATATTTTGACATACCCCCCTGGGATACCCTGAAGTACCTATAATACCCTTCTAAAATCAGTTTTAACCCTAGCCACTCACAGTCTCTCTCTTCTTCTCCCAGATTCAAAATCCTAGCCCTCTACAAACCTCTCACCGGCGAAATTGCTTCCCGGAGCCATAACTCTCTCTCCGGTGGTCGGAATTCGATGGTTTAACTACCGTTGGATTCCTCTCGTCGAGCTCTTTCTTTTGGTGGTGATTTCATTCAGTTTCGAGCGCGGATCTATTTCTGCAATTTTTTTTCATTCGAGGACGGTGGTCTTGCCGGAGCTTTATTTTGTGTTCCACCCGTCAAAATTTGACGGGTCATCCACCGTTTGATTCCTCTCGTCGGGATCTATATTTTGATGGTAATTTCGTTTATTTTTATTTTTTCAGATTTATTTCTATATTTTTTTGCATTTCCCAGCAATAACCTCTCTCTCTATCTCTCGATCTATTAATGTTTGGTGCTTTTTGAATGTTTTGATGTTTTTATTCAAATTTGTTGATTTGCACTAAAGTAATTTCTTTTTGTTTTGATTTTGCAATTGCAGCTTAATGAAGGCCATTGATCATTTCCTTGAAGGTGTCAAATTTTTTTTTTTTTAAGTTACATCAGATCAGTTCAACACGCTGTATACATTACTATACATTACTATAGTAACATGTAGTTACATGTAGTTACATATGCGTATATTTATGTATTTTTGTTTTGTATTTTATTGGTTTTGATGTGATTTATAATAAAAATATTTAAATTTGTAAATTTTTGTTGGGGTTTTATGAATTTATTTTGTATAAGTCAGTATTCGTGTGTGTATACAATTGATCGACTAAAAATATGGGGAAAAAACGAACATAACTATGAATTACTATAGGTACCATAGTTACATGTAGTTATTTTCAGTACTGTAAACATATTGTTTTGAAAATTAAAAAAAAAAAATAATAATAATAATAATAATAATAATAATAAATAAATCAGCGAAAATGATAAATGCAGGACCATAAATGCTGAATGCAGTTTGGCCGAAAATTGCACATAAGGGTAGTATAGTACTTTCGCTTCCCCAGGGGGTATGTCAAAGGATGATTTGGGCTTGGGTTTATCCTTAGTTTATTTGGTGGCTAGGGGGGTATGTAAAATAACCCCTAATTATATTACTGTTTAACACAGTAATATTAACTATACTACACTTAACGCATTAATATTGCTATTATACCCTCTATTACAGTAATATTAACACAACAAAAATCAATATTATTGTATGATAGAGTAATATTAATATGTTGGCCGAGACAAACATAATAAAAAACAAAAACAAGTAATATTGATGTGGTTGACAATAATATTACTGTAATTCACAGTAATATTACTGTAACAACAATAATATTACCACAATCACAGTAATATTATTGTGTTTACAATAATATTTTTTTTTTTTTTTTTTTAATATTACAATAGTATATAGTAATATTATTACGTTAATTGGTCAACAAATCAAACAAAACAACCAAGTAAAAAATCTAATATTGAGGTGGTTGATAGTAATATATTGTTTTTACAGTAATTTTACCGTCAACTACAATAATATAATTACGTTGACTTATCAACAAATCAAACAAAATAAAAAGAATACCAAAAAAATAATAATATTGTTGTGATTGATAGTAATTATATTGTCGCTGACAGTATAATTATTGTGAATGACAGAATGACAGTACAATTACGGTCAACATTCAGCAACGGTCGTTAAAAAAGGGATAATTTTTTTAGGGAAAAAAAACCGCTAAAAAAATTCAATGCCGGAAACCGACGGCAGAAAAAGCATACCTGGAAGAAAAGAGAGAGAGAGAGAGAGAGAGAGAGAGAGAGAGAGAGAGAGAGAGAGAGAGAGAGAGAGTCAACGCCGGAAACCAGCAGCAAAAAAAGTCAAAGTTGAATTTTGTGGTCAAAATTAATTAAATTGAAGTTAAATTGGGTTTACAATTAGGAATTGAGTTGAAATGATTGGGGGTAATTTTGTCATATATATTAATTTTTCCTTTATTTATAATACATATTAAAGGGATGAGCTTATTAACAAAAGCGATATAACCCCAAAACTTGTAATAATAAAGATTGTTGGTTAAGGACTTATGCACAAAAACCCCTACAATATTATTTCAATTATATAAAATAAAGGACATTAAATGATATTAAAGAAATTATATAGAATTACTAATAATGCTCTCTTCTCTCTCCTACCCCACGCCAACCCTAAGCCTGTAATCGCCGATATGTTTGCAATGCCGCCGGTCCTCGCCGGCGCCCCAACTCCCCAACCTGATCATAATATTCCGTCTGAGAAGATACACACCCATGTCCGCACCTTCGCACAGGTGACATCCCCATCTGCCCCAAAAGCTCCGCCTGCTTGGTTCAACCCTATAGCTACCTCGCTTCCTCCGCAACAATTTACGATCATCGAAGAGGCGCCAGCATGTTTTTTCTCCCCACTTGAGATGGACCTCACTTCAAAACAGCTAGAACATGCTCTTATTATGAAGTTTTCTAGGGGACGGCCAAGTCTCCAAGATATCCGTACGAAGATATCTCAATCTTGGCTTCTATCAATGGAACCGGTGATCAGTTTAATAGATCCCCGACACGTTTTGCTCATCCCAGCCAGTTATGAAGATATGATAATGGCATTGGCACGTGACTCCAATGCCTTTGGAACCTCTATGTTTCGTATTTCTCGATGGACGATCGACTTCAAATTTGATAAAGATAGTACAAGGATTGCGGTTTGGATTCGTCTCCCTAAGCTACCCTTTTACTTCTTCAATTTACCTTACTTGGAAAGAATTGGGAATCAGATAGGAACATTCCTTCGAGCGGATGAAAGGAGCATCAATTTTCAAAATCTGCTTTTTGCCCGGTTATGCATAGAGGTGGATGTGGCGACATATTTACCTCAACGAATCTGGATTGGTGAGTCGAAAGAAAAGGGTTTTTGGCAGAATATCGATTATGAAGGAAACATCGCGTTTTGCACACACTGTGGACTTTTGGGACATATTCAGGATAACTGCAGGAAGAAATTGGCACGCATGCAATCCCAAACAAAGCCCACAACTTCTAATGGTCTCCCGAACGTAAAGCGTGATGAACCAAACAAAGAATGGCAACGTAAGGAAATACGTATACTCACCAAGGATAATGGCAAAAACGTGATTATTGACGCGGAGGAAACGGAACAGCCACTTGTAGGTGAAAAGGAGAACTCCCTACATAATAACCCTAATGCTCATGGTATGTCCTATTCTATGAATGAAAAAGAAATGTTGGGCGTTGTCACCACTGCAAATCGTTTTTCGAGTTTGAACCATGACAATGAAGCTGATGCAGAACAACACACACCTCATGCAACAATTACGATAGACAAGAAGAAGGAATCTTTTCAGCGAAGTAAATCTGCTCTAGATTTATCGAGAATTGCTTCATTAGGTAATGGACAAAAAGTGGATGATACTTGGGCAATCACACATCAAGAAGAGGATTTGTTGGCAAATATGGAAAATCAATTTGTAGATAAGGGCTCTTTATCAGAAGGTCAACAAAAAGAGGTCGAAGTAGGAGAAGCTGAGGAATCGGATGACGAGCGGACTATGATAGAACTCCCTGGAAAGGTTGACGAACAGGTGGATGTGGTAAAACCTTCTTTGAAGGAACAGACCAAACCTCCTCTCACATTCAAAAGAGGACCGGGTCGTCCACGAAAAGAACGTCAAGTCGACGACCGAACCAACCCCATCATTTCTTGATGTCAGTTCTAACTTGGAACATTAGAGGTGTAGGGAACCCAAAATCTCTTGTATATCTTCAATCTTTAATATCTCAACAGAGACCTCAAATTATGGTTCTTTTGGAACCCAAACAACAAGTTTCAAAATTACCAAAAATTGCCAAAAATCTTGGGTACAACAACTTTATCCACGGGTGTCCTCTTAACTCTTATATTTGGATCCTATGGCGTGATGATGTGACTTTGCAGGTCGTGGACATCCACGCTCAAAGTATTACTGTTAATGTTTTTTTACCTAATTTCTTCAGGGGTAAGATGTCGTTTATATATGCTAAATGTACTCGTCAAGAGAGGTTGCCTCTATGGGAGCATTTGATTCAGTTTAGTGATAATTGTGGTGAACCCTGGATAGTAGGGGGCGACTTTAATGTTATCAAAGCCCTTAATGAGAAAATGGGAGGATATAAAAATCTCACGTTGGGGATTCAGGAGTTTAATGAATTCTTAATCGATTCTCGGCTTTCGGATGCAGGATTTCAGGGTAATATGTTTACATGGAGCAACAATCAACGGGGTCGTAACTGTATTTGGCAAAGAATCGATCGTTTTCTTATGAATGCGGAGGCAGTCACTTCTTGCAATTTCCAAGTCACCCACCTTGCTAGAGTGGAATCGGACCATTGCCCGCTTCTCATTAAATTTAGCCAGTTAATTCCTCGAAGGTCCCGTTTTTATTTCCAGAAAATGTGGATGGACCATTGTGATTTCGATTCTTTTGTTTCTAATAGATGGATATCGGTTGGGGATATCGGCAGATATTCTTTTGAGAATAAACTAACTCGACTTCGCAAAGCCCTTACAAGATGGAACTGGGATACGTTTGGGCAGATTGACGTTAATATCTCCTCCATGCAGCGTAGGGTTGAGGAATTGGAGGCTCGTCTTTCTAATGTATGGGATGATACCGTTTTTAATGAGTGCCAAACCATCAAAGACTCCCTTAACCAACACATTAAATGGGAACGGGAACTACTTATTAGTAAAGCCAGGATCAAATGTTTTGCGGATGGAGATCGCAATACGAAATATTTTCATGCCCGGATTAAAGATCGTAGAAAAAGGAATACAATTTCACTCAAACTCCCAGATGGCACTTTCACGTCTGATGGGCGTACCATCGGGGAGATGGGGATTGCATACTACTCTGAACTTTTTAAAGCATCCGAGTATCATTTGGATCAATCTCTTTTCTCTCACGTGGAAAGCAAGGTTACGGCGGAAATGAATGAGGTGATATGTAAAATTCCGACGGAGGAAGAGGTTTTATTGGCTATCAAATCGCTTTCACCGGATAGTGCTCCAGGGCAAGACGGATTCACGGGTCATTTCTACGTCGGGTGTTGGAATATAATCAAGGACGACTTCATGCAGCTTGTGAGTGGTTATTTTCAGGGCGATTATCTCTCAAAGGGAATGACAACCACTCTTTTGGTCCTTATTCCAAAAATTGATAATCCAGAATGTTTAAATCAATATCGGCCAATCAGTTTAGGGAATTTTGCTAGTAAAGTGATTTCCAGAATCATAGCTACTAGATTGAATGCCATTCTCCCGTTAATCATATCTGTAGAGCAAACGGGTTTTCTCAAGGGCCGCAGCATTCACGAAACCATCGCCATTGCCCAAGAATTAGTTTCTGATATTGATAGGAAAGTCGAAGGTGGAAACGTGATATTTAAATTCGATATGGCTAAGGCATACGACCGACTAGAATGGAGATTCCTCCTTAAAGCATTACAATCTTTTGGCTTTTCTCATCACGTATGCGATCTCTTGTATCGATCTTTCTCCAATATATGGTACTCTATTTTATTAATGGACATCATATGGTCATTTCAAATCAACTAGAGGGGTTAGGCAAGGGGACCCTTGATCTCCGTTGCTTTTTATTATAGCCCAAGAGATTTTGACACTTAATATCAATCGTTCAGTGGCGCTCGCTCAACTGAAAAGATATAAAGTTCGCCGGGGATCTCTCCACATTTCGCATCTCTTTTACGCCGACGACATGCTTCTATTCACCAATGGCTGCAAATCCTCTATTATACAGTTGAGACGTATGTTTAAAAAATACGAATCATCTTCTGGTCAGCTCCTTAGTTTGGACAAAAGCGCGTTCTACACCTCCAAGAAAATTCCGGTGAACAAAATCAGTCAGCTTAGAGAGTGGAGTGGTTGCTCCCATAAATCCCTGCCGTTAAAATATCTTGGGGTCCCGATTTACAGAGGACGATGTATGGTACAACATTTTGACTATTTAGTGCAACATGTTCAAAATCGTTTGGACGCTTGGCAAGCGAAATTACTATCCTTTGGTGGTCGTATCACCCTTCTTAAATCGGTGCTTTTTAGTTTGCCTAATCACACTTTGTCTTCTGCAGTGGTTCCCCAACAAATCCTAATTCGCATGGAACGGCTTTTTCGTAAATTCCTATGGGGAAAACAGGAGGGTCTGGGAATTAATTGGATTAGTTGGGAGAAGATTTGCCATCCTAGAGAAGAGGGCGGTCTTGGCTTTCGGTCGTTAATGGTTACGAAAAATATTTTAGCCGGAAAATTAGCTTGGAAAGCTTTGGAGGGTACAACTCTTTGGGCGCGTTTCGTCAGGGCCAAATATGGTGAGAATTTCCATAATGGCCCTCCTCTTCATTCAACTCCTCTTTGGAAGGAAGTGCATAAACACTTCGAGACTTTGGAGAATCATACTTGCTGGATTGTTGGGAAAGGTAGCGTCGATTTCTGGCGAGATAAATGGATTCAGGGGGTGACCCTCGATGAACACAAAACCATGACGTTCAAAGAGGCCAAAAGTAAACCGCAAGAATGCAAGAGTTTTCTTTCCCAGGAGCAGCAACATATCTTCGATTTGATAGAGATCAATGAGATGGAGGAGGATCGCCTTATTTTCACGAAATCGACTTCAGGAAATTTTACGGTGAGCGAATACTGGGATCTCGTTCGTCATAAAAACCCTCGAGTGAAATTTACAAAAAAGATTTGGCACCCACACATTCCGCTCAAAGTCGGGGCTTTCTTTTGGAAGCTTGCATATGGGGCTATACCCGTTGATTTGGCCCTGCAAAAACGAGGTTATCCATACCCATCCAAATGTAGGTGCTGTGAAAAACCTTCCCAAGAAAGTTTGACACACCTTTTCGCGCAATCAGACGTCGCAAGAGGGGTTTGGAAATATTACGCTGATCTGTGGCTTAAACCATGGATGTATGGTTCCATGCAACACCTGATCAAAGCTTGGACACATGACTTTAGGAGGGACACTCAAGAGGGTTTAATGGCACTTGGCATTTTAATGATAGGTTGTTGGGAAATTTGGAAAAATCGTTGTCGAGCAGTATTTGAAGATATTCCGATGAACACGGCTACAATTATCCGAAACATCTTTCCTTCTCTAGTTACTTTAAACGATATTATGAAGGTTAAATTGCCAACATCTCAGATCGGTAGGCAAGTAATGCAAGCTCTTCGGCTTCCACTTAAAGCTCCGTTTCTTGGTCGGGGTATATGGGTTAAATGGATCCCGCCAGAAGCTCGGTATATTAAAGGCAACGTGGATGGTTCCTTGCATGGCACTGCATGTTCAGGGGGTGGTCTCTTTCGAACCCATGATGGTCATTTCATTCATGGTTTCTCTCATATATACGGCCCTGGTTCTCATATTTGGGCTGAAGCTTCAGCAATTCTCGATGGTTTGCAGATGTCTACGGAAATGGGTTTCGATAACATCATTATCGAATCGGATGCCAAGCTTGTGGTGCATATGATTTACCAAAGATCAGTTGTTGCGTGGGATTTAAACTATGTTGTTCAGGGTATACGACGGCACCTTTCGGCGAATCGACGAGTGGTTCATACGCTCAGGGAAGGCAACTACCCGGCAGATAGTTTAGCCAAATTGGCGCATGGGCATCGTATGAAGATCAGATATAGATCTATTAGTGAACTCCCTTCCTCAATTAAGCGGTTAATATTAATGGATAGATTAGGTTATCGTAATTTTCGTAAAGGTTGCCATAAACCATCAAGTGGTTCTTCCGATTTTTTATTGCCATTGTAGGGGTACTCTTTTTTCTTGTGTAGGCCCACAAGGTTTTAACGAGGCCCCATTTGTTCTAATTATGGGATAATAAAATCCTTTTTGGCCAAAAAAAAAAAAAAAAAAAAAAAAAAAAAAAAAAAAGATATTAAAAAAATTACAATCATGTATAAACCATAAATAAAAATAAAAAAATAAAAAAATAAAAATAAATAAATAAAATGGATATTTTCTTTTACATGCATCACTTTAATGGCATTCTTTGTAGGGGTGAAAACAAACAATTTTTTTTCCATGAATATTTTAGTGATCAGAGTTTATTTTATTATTATTATTATATATATATATATATATATATATATATACTTTCTTTTAAATAATCCGACGCGATTTCTATTTTTCGCACTTTGTGTGCTCAAAACTAGATTGGAGGTTAAAGAAAATAACAATTTAATTTGTTATTTTATATTCCGAAAAGACATTAATAAAAAAATAAAATTGTCTTTATTATTTATAATTCATTGTGCATTGCGAATGATTAATTTATTATATTTTGAGGGTGGAAGGTGATTTTTTGCACAATTGTGTCTACATACAAAATTCGGAGTGTGGTTATGAAAAGATTCGTTAAATCCATTTAAAATATTAAATTATTCTTCTAAATTAGTTTTAGTATTTTCGTATTATCCTATTTGTAGGAAGGTTGCGGCTATATGCAATACTAAAACCACTTGTGCAAGATTAAATTAAAAAAAGATTCCAAAAAATTATATTTTATTAAGATGAAATGACAAATATACCCATAAATTAAATTTGCTTTTTTTTCTCATGCAAGACCAAATACAAATAATGAGGAAAAAAAAACAAAAAAAAAAACAAAAAAAAGATGCGTGAATTAAACCCCCCCCCCGAAGTTCATTAGCCCTGCCGTCTGAAAAAATATTTTCGCTTT